ATATTATTTATAATGAACGTCAGAATTTCAAACTTCCTTGAATTCCCATGTTGCCGCTACGGAAAATAGAGGGAAATTACGGAAAATACGAACGTGTGGGAAGGGGAATTTATTTTGGGAAAATATTTTTTAATTATAATGATTGGTTTTAGTGTTAATTGTAGACCAATTATTTAAAAAATCACACCAATCCCATTAAACGGTTCAAAATATGACAATAAATGTTGTCACGCTATCAGTGAATGACTCATATGAAATAGACAAACACTTACAGAGCATAAGCATTGGTTCATTCATTAATATAGTGACGAAATAAGTCATCAACTTTTATTCAATCATTTACATTAAACATTGTATAAATAAGTAAATGATAATAATTGATAAAACAATTGAATGCTTATATCCATCCCAAATGACATGGATCAGACACTGGCGCGTCAATTGGAGGCACTGGTGGTGATCATGTCGGTGATAATAGTCCGCTAGTGCCATAAATATGCGCCAAAGCCACTAATCAAAAGTTATTGGTAAATAATTAATAAACAAATTATTGACAATTTAATAATTGATATTTATTCAGTATAATTGAATTCATTTATCTCATTATCATTATCAGGTACTTTAATGACAGTCCATAAAGTGCCCGCATAGTCCGTCCAGTGTAACCACAAACGATCGTTAGTTATTATCGGCATTTTATTACAATTGTAATCATTTAGGATTTAAGCACATAGTTATCACAAAACACTGGCAAATCTAAATGACTTTAGCGTTTAATTATTATAACGCATTGGTGCATTAATTCAATACCCGCTAATGTCAGTTATCTGCACTAATGCCGTAACATTTGTAAATGGTAATTCATTTAACATAAAAACAAATATAATAATAAAATTTAATTCAATTATTAAATAAAACAAATAAGGGATACAAAAACACTTGTACTAAAACCGCGTGTAATTTATGTACAAATAAGTGACACATAAACCAATACAACAGACAACTCAATAGCATATACAGCTGTGTCGATGAGCGCAATTTTTAAAATATGACAAAAAAATACAAATTAATTTTAATTAAATCAACTGATTTGTTTTAACAAAATTATTTGTTATATTATGCTTAAGCATATTAGAATACATGTATTCATTAAGTTAAAAGTATTTATATACATTGATTGGTCATCGTTTGACCACATTTTTGTTTTATATTCCCAATTTTAAGGAATATAAAGAATTTTCCGGCGCAAAACTATTTTCCAGGAAGATATTTTGAAAACTTGGGAAATGCCGCTCATTAATTATATATAATAAAAGTTATTTTTATTTTAAATAATTTTTAATGCCTTTATTATCTAATAAAACATCATCATTAAAAATTATTTTACAAGGTTTGGCGAGATTTTATGTAGTAAAAATAATTACTTAATTATATCGTACAATTTATTAACGGGTTTGGGTTTGTTTTGGTTTTAAGTTGTTGTGGAATTGCAAGTCTTAAGATACTTATTGATAGGTTGACCCCCACTCTCACGTCTCCCCTCTTCTATACACTTGTTATTAATCTTAATAAACAAATGCCATTCACTTCTGGATATATTGAGATGTGGCAAACATGTGCCACTTTTAACCATCGGTGGTATTCTGTGATAACTAGTGTTTCTGCCGCCCGCATAGACCGGCACCTCATTCAGACTCAGAACCGTTTCGTCCGATATATCCTTAACTGTGATTCGATTACGAATATTAGGGTCAAAAAATTGGAGACAAAAATTAATTATGGTTTGAAATATGGGATCTTTATTGTACGCTACGCCCGATTGATCTCGTAATTGTTTATTAGCCATAACAGCCAAATCGGAAAAAGTAGCTAGTATGTTTGAAACAAAATTATTAAATAGGCATATTAATTGCAATACAATATAGATGTAATTGTATTTAGTCATGCTCACCTAATATAACATTTTCAAGTGTCGTATTCAGAAAACTGTGATAGGTCAGGCCATTTTTATTTTTGCGAATAAAATCAGCGTATATGTGCAAAATAAATTGCCTGTACAATATGTCGAGAGCCTTGTTATTAGTCAAACGCATACAACGGCCCACTTGACCATGGACGGGTTGACCCGATTTTGAGAACCCGACGAGATTTATATATCCGGTGGCAAAAAACTCCGAGGGATAGTATTCGGGCACAAATGGCTTAATAGTCTTTATGTATAATGAATTGGACTCAAACACCACTGACAATGGGTTGAAAGACTTCATGATTGAACGTGGTAATTGATTTAAGTTAACATTTAATATAGTAGAATTAGCCAGTTGCTTCACTGAGTTTAATATGGTAGAATTACCAAGTTGTTTCACTGGATTTAATATGGTAGAATTAGCAAGTTGCTTCACTGGATTTAATATGGTAGATTTAGCCAGTTGCTTCATTGGCCTTAATAATAAATCTTGTTTTAAAAACCCATCCGACGGCGCAATCACTCGCATCAATACTATCAATAATAATAATTTTATCATTTTAGTTTAAGACAACAGATTATACAATATAAATAAAATTCAAAAACAGGTTGAAATGTGTAATTAAAAAATTAATTATTATAATATCATATCGAAAAATTCAACAGTAAATCTATGCACAATCAGACTGTGGGTCAGCTCGCCATCTATATCACACATAGCGTTGCCAAACAATATTTTGAAAATCCTGTATTAATGTTAAAAAATTGCCAAAAATTCCTGTATTTTCCTGTATTACAGCTTATTTTTGGAATGTTTATTCCTGTATTCTTCAATGTACATAAAAATTTCTTCCTGTATTTTGTAAAAATTCCTGTATAATACAGGAAGTTCCTGTATGTTTGGCAACGCTAATCACACACCTATTACTTAGACTATCTGTTAGACATCGTTATACAATAGAAATGTCACTATTTTATTTATAACAAAATAAGATTAAAATTTGTTTGACATAGCGCAAACTATTCTCAATATCTATATTATCACACACCTATTACTTAGACTATCTGTTAGACATCGTTATACAATAGAAATGTCACTATTTTATTTATAACAAAATAAGATTAAAATTTGTTTGACATAGCGCAAACTATTCTCAATATCTATATCAATGACTTTTTCGCTGCCAATCTAGATGTCTCTGAATTATTTTCAAAGTTAATACAATAGTCTATAAGCACTTCGAAACATACGGGTTTAAATTATAAAAATTACACCATATTTTACACACTGTGTTGTCGAGCACTTATAAATAAAAGTTTTATTTCAAAGTGATTAAAATGATTGAATATGCAATTATTTTGTTTGTTATTTATATCTTATACAGAATAATATTGTATCAATTTAAAAGATATGGGAAACAAAAATGTCAGGTATGTGTTATGATTGTATAAATTGAACAAGGAACATATATAAAATATACATGCCAGTTTGCCATAACACCACTTCCCTAACACTCGTCAATATATTTATGTTAACCATATGTATTTTAAGTTTAGTTTTACATTACTTTGCATTACAAAAAAATTGTTTGACGTTTACTTAAAATTTAATAAAAATTATGTCAAACGACAGGCAAAAGTGTTGTGGTTTTCCGATTTTGTGCCCAAACAATACATAAACGCTCCGAAAATAACCGGTGTAAAACATCTTGATGATGACCAAGTTCAACAAATTCTAACGTTTGAGATCCGCAACATTAAGGCCAAACCCGTTATGGCTAACCCTCTACACGACAAAGCGGTCAAAATTGTTGAACAAATATTGAGCAATGCACATGGCCGTAAAATTGTAGACCATCATAATTTATCCAGTTATGCCTCCTAAAAACTGCTGTGACTGACTTGAAGTCAGAACACAGTTAAAAACATTACAGCATTTGGTTCACGTCAACTGTTGACGTAAACCACAACATTATACTGTATATAGTTTACATTGCATTCGACTACATTATACAATTCTACATTATACAATTCTACATTATACAATTCTACATTATACAATTCTACATTATACGTTTTATTTCTACAATAGAGAGCGAGACGTGGGAATGATTCCGGTTTTTATGTGGGCCGAGTTGAGCGTCGGGTTTGATCCAAACGATTATGGTATTCGCTCGGACCCAACGTACATGACATTTAACAACGTGGTGGCTTTTTACTGCATGATGATTAACGAGCTGTATTCGGTCAAAAAGGAGGTCAAACGTGGCGACATCAGGCATTCGTACCTCTACTTGATTATGGCCAGAGAGCGGTGCGCAGCGAAGACTGCGGCCGATCGTATTGTGGCCGAAATAAAGGTGGCCTACAGTCGCGCCCAACACTACGGGCGCCAATTGAACATGTTCAATATACCCGCTCTCGACCGCTACGTCACGGAGTCTATACGCTGTTGCGATGGCAACCATTACTGGTCGAGACATATAAGCGTGAGATATCAAGTGGGGAAAGAAACGTGTGTTACGTCACACGACTAATGTTTGGCGTAAAATGTCCCGGATAACTTATAATTGTTTGATTAATTATGCCATATATTGTTACATTTTATTTATTAATATTGTGCTAATTGTTAATCCATAGACATATTATTTTAATAACTTTAATTGTAGGAGTCTTTAAAAAGTCTGGTGCCTACGAATGTCACCTTAAATAATAATACAAATTCCACAATTCTATTTACATGGGGTGATATTTTTTCGTTTATACTAATATTATTATTTTATATAATTTAATTTGTTGAAGAGATGCCTATTAATTGATATAAATGTACATTATGTAATCTTATTTAAAAGTAATTTAGAAATGCAATAATAAACCCAAATGAATTTTACTACAGTAAAAGACCATTTGGGTGAAGTAATTTGGTTTCAGCATTTGGTTCACACAAATGATTCGTTCACACAGCTGGTACCTTTTTAACATTATGTCTATGCAGTGCGGGTTCAGGGTTTGGTTCATACAAATGGTTAGTTCACACAACTGCTACTTCACCCAAATCATCCAATACTGTATTTTGGTATAATTTTCTAAATAGTTATAATATTGATTTTCAAATTATTAATTAATTTATATTTGGTGGATGTGGATGTAAATTATTTTAGTAACATCAATTTATTCAACGTAAATTAAATTAATTTTAACTTATTTATTAAATTCTTTTAAAACTTGTGCTGTTTAATTACTTATGACTAATTTAACTTTTAAATTTAGATACAAGCTCAATAAAAATTAATTAACAAATGCTATTCAAGTTTATTACGAAAATTATAATTTGTTTTATATAAAATTATGTTACACAATAAAATTTAGACTGTTAATAATGATACAAACAATCAATGTAAAGCTTAGTTAAAGCATAAAAAGCATAAATGTTAAATAAATTTAAAATAAAACAATTACAAATGTTATGTAAATATTTGTATTAAAAACATTCATAAGAAATATAAAACTTAAGGACCAATATTTTAGTTAGATATAAATGTAAACCATAGTCAAATTATAACAAAAACAACAATTAAACAGTCCTTCATATCGTAGTTATAATTTGTTCAAAAAAGTAATTTTAAAAAATGTGAAATAATTTTGAATAATTCCAAACCATTTATAACAAATACATTATACATGTATAAATAAGTTTATAATTTATTATAATATAATATGTGTATATTATGTCGTATAACATGTAACATTTGTGTAAAACAATAGAATCAATTAAACAAAATTATTGCTATTATTATTATATAAATACAACACAATACAATAAATAAGTTACATTATAGAAATTAAAACACAAAAACAACAACAATGATAATTACGAAAGGTACATATTCACCAAATATGGTAGATTGACAGTCATTGATTTGGCTTTGCAGTGTTTTATTAAATAATATATAGATGTTTTAATTCGATTCATAAGAAAAACCAATATAAATTAACCCCTGGTTTTAATGCCAACAATTATAGATTTAACACTTTTAAGGGCAGGATTTTTAAGCAAAATTAAGGGAACTTCTGTTTGCGGACTTCTGGTCAACTCAAACCTCCTTATAATATGAGCCAAACCTAACTTCACTTCCATTAATGCAAACCTCATTCCAATGCAATTGCGAGGACCGGAACCGAAGGGCAGATAAGTGTAGGGAATTATTTGGTGACGATTTTCGGGTAGAAAGCGGTCGGGAATAAACATTTCGGCGTTTGGATAATATTCCTTTGAGTGATGGATAGCATAAACAGGTATTTCCAAGGCTTGTCCCTTATATACAGTAATCCCAGTGTTTCCCAACCGGTAGTCCTTTGCAGCAATTCTTCCTATTTTAACGAGAGGTGTGTGGAGTCTAAGAGTCTCAGCAATGACTGCATCCAAAAACGGGAGTTTTATCAACACTTCGTAATCAATCTCTCCGTTTGTGTCCATCAAAGTCATCACTTCTTCGTATAGTTTTTGCTGAACGTCTGGATTGAGTGCCAATTCATAGGAACAGAAGGACAGAGTACTGGCCGTTGTCTCATATCCGGCTAACAGTACAATAAACATCTGCGCTATCATCTCATCCTCTGTTATGAATATATTCGATGGCTTTATATTCAGTATTTTGTTTGTGATTTCGAGTTCCTCTTCGCCTAAAATATAAGTATTCAATAAATATAAATGTTTTAATAATTCTATCTGTAAAACAAACCTTCATTGATGTGATGCGACTCGTATTTATTCCTCTCATCATTACTGTTATCCTTTCCTTCCTTTGCTCTCATCATGAGATCAATCAAATCATTGGATTTTGTCTCCGATTTCTCCCTAATTCTCAATATTTGTCGTGAAATTGTAGAGAAAAAATCGACTGACTTTTCATTCATTAAAGTTTTGAACTTTA